AAGGAAACATTCCCTAATTTAGTGTTTACTTTATGTACAAAGATGCTCACAGAATTCTTTTAATAATAAAAAGGAGAACAATCTAAATAGAAAAAATAGTCAAGTAAGTGTATTATTAGGCCTTTCTCCACATTCCTCCTAAGTCTACCTGACAAATTTCTCTATTTTTAAAGCCACACTTCCTGCCGTTGCCTCTAGACAGAGTTGATTTGGTATCTCAAGTACACATGACACATCGAGTCGTGTGATGCTTAATGATGGGGAGGCATTCTGAGAAATGTGACGTTAGGTGATTTCATCAGTGTGCGAACATCACAGATTGTACTTATGCAAACGGAGATGGTACAGCCTACTACACACCTAGGCTGTAGGGTACAGCTTAGTGCTCGTAGGCTACAAGCCTATGCGGCATGTTGCTGTACGAAACAGCACGATATTAAGTCAAGCACAGAGAAAAGGATGCAATCAGGAGACTTGGTAAATACAAGATGTATGAGGCTGCTGCCGGCACAACACGGCATGCTGTTTTACAGTAAACTTTTTCGTTTTTATAAATAAGTAGGAAGAGTACATTCTAGCATAACAATAAAAAGTATAGTATAGTCTGTAAACCAGTGACATAGTCATATATTATCATTATCAAGTATTATGCACTGTATGTGATTGCCTGTGCTGTACTTTTATACGACTGGCATGCAGGTTTGTTTACACCAGCATCATGACAAACACGTGAGTAATGCGTTGTGCTCCAACGTTAAGACAGCTATGAGTCGCTAGGCAATAGGAATCTTTCAGCTCCGTTATAATCTCATGGGACCACCACTGTGTATGTGGTCCATCAGTGGAGGGAGTACAGTAAGTCCTCTTTTAACGTTGTTGATATGTTCTGCCACTTCAAGCAAAACGATGTATAAAGGAATCCGTTTTACCATAGGCTAATTGATGCTAACAACAGTTACGTTCCTACATCATTTCATCAATGTTATAACAAAATGATGTTAAAAGAAACGAATTTTTTCAAGGACCTGCTCATTAACAGTATAACAGAGCTCGTGGTGACACTAAAATTGTACATGGATAAGAACATGGGCTCTGAAGTGACATGGCCCTAGGTCTGAGTCTTAGCTCTGTCATAATTTCCTCATCCATAAAATGAAGGTGACAATGATAAAATCTCCCTGATAAATTTGTTGTGAGGGTTAAGTGACATGATGCAGATAAAAGCTTGGTACATAGTAAATACTCAATAAAAGTTAATTTCTATTATTACCATTAGTATTACCTCTCAGACTTCTGGCCTCTACTTGTATCAGTTGATTCAGATGGGAAGGAAAGAAAGAACCCAAAGAAACACGGGCAGCATCCGTAGGAATAGTGAAGTTGTGGAATAGAAACTTCACATCCTGGAGGCACAGTTACTATATTCATCACTTTTTATTACTGGTGATTGGGACTCTGGAGAAGAAACATAAATATAAAAAAATCTAGACGAAGGGCCGGCTGAGTGGCTCACTTGGTTAAGAGCTCGCTCAAGAGTGTGAGCTCTGAGCAACAGGGTCGCCGGTTTGGTTCACAGCCCGAGCTGAGCTGCCACTGTGCTGCCAACAGGTGGCAGGATGGCTCAGCTAAAAAAATAAAAAATAAAAAAATAAAAAAATCTAGACGATATTTAAGAATGGAATTTAGATTTGAGGTAAAAGAGTGAATTTAGATAAAGGAGGGACGGCCTGAGAACTAAGGATGGAATGAATATGAGGCCTGAGAAGAAAATGCTTGCCCAGAGAAGAACTAATCTAGGTTACCACTGTGTGAAGGTGCTATGCTTTCTGCCGGAGCAACACAGTAATAGTAATAATAAATAGTAATGATAGGAGCAGCAGTAGCTAATACCTATACAGCAGTATTTGCTATGTGCCAGGTACTGCTCTAAATCCATCTATTAACTCATTTACTCTACTAACTCTTAGAAGAAAGCATTTAGGCTTAAGAGTCTAAACAGGTCTGGAGTTAAATCTTGGCCCTGCCATTAACGGTAAGATGACTTTGAGTGAGTTACTTCACTTCTCTGAGCTTTACTTTCCTCATTATCTAACTGGCAGTATCCACTTAACCCACGGGGATAATCTGAGGATCATCTGAGATTATAAACATAAAGTACCTGACATCTAGCAGATACCCTGGTAGCTATATCTTTATTACTGCGGTTAATACTATAATTATTATTAAATCTTAGAACCAAAAACATCATTCTGAAGGCATAAAATGTTGAAAGAGGGAACTTTTATTCTTCCTTCCTGAGTTCCTCTTCAACTTTTTTTAAAAAAAATGGGCAGTATTCTATATTATTAAGCTTTTCTCAGAATTAACTATACATGAATAAAAAGTAGAATATTATAAAGCTAAAAAGACCCTTAGGCTAGCTTAAAAGGGTTCTTTTTTTTTCCCCCCTTCTAGGAATAGTCGTGGTGAAAATACTACAGTTCCTTTAAGTAAATAGTGTTGAAAAGAATGAAAATGGCATATGGTTGGGGGAATCTTCCAGAGAAACCACGCAGCCATTCCCTGTTCTTTTCTCTGCCTTTTAAGGTCACAGTAACATGGTAGAAAATCTGGGACTCACACCATCTGTCCAGACAGTTCTATCACTGCTCATTTCTCTTCTTAAATAATCGGAACACTTCACACTTCCCAAACACTGCTACCATAAAGAGCAATGAAAGCAGAATGAAAGAAGCTCTTTCGATCCAGAAATGGAGAGCTTAGAAATGAACAGTTCTTCTGGGGTTTGTGGGCTTCAGATCATGTCAACAAGAAAGATATTCAAGTCTTGGAAGGAAATTTAAGAAAAACAGGATTATCATACTGGCTGTAAAAAATTATCTTTCTTAGAAAAAAAACAAGGTGACATTTTCATATGAGTTCTCTAAGAATAGGTTTGGCAGTTTACTATTGAGGTAATTATATAGGTTTCTAATCTGTAAATTTCTGCCAAGACTAAGAAGAGGAACAGTTTTCTGTACCACTACTACTGGTAGTATTAATAATAGTGGCTAATCATTTCTTAGCACTCGAGACACGCTTAATTCTCTTCAAAACCCTTTTTGTGTATTAACTCAATTGGTCTTTAAAACCACTCTCTGTAGCAATTTCTATTATTATTCCCACTTTACACTTGAGGAAACTTAGGCACAGAGAGGTTACATCATTTTCCCAAGGTAATATACCTAGTAAAACGTAGGGCTGGGATTCAAAAGCAAGCAGACTCACTGTGCCTTGAATTTCTATGGTATGCTACCTTTGAGTTTTTTTTAAAGCCTCTAAATTATACATTAAGTTTGGCATCTTTATCGTATTTTGAATAAACAAACTGTAGCTGAATATCAAAACTACCCCCCATTCACTGAGCCACAGTGTCAATTATATATTCATTAACTTATTCATATCTGTCTTACAATCAGAGCTCACCCAACATAAATGTGTTTGCTGTTAAAAAGCAAAATAACATTTTATAATAAATGAAAGTTTCAAGAATATGCGCTGAGGTCAGTGTCAATTTGGGGACACTCTATGACTTCAAGGAAAAGGTCTGGATTCCTCTCAAACCTCCAGAACTAGTAGTTGAACTTTACATGAAGACTCCTTGCCGTCAAATAAGGATTCGGCGAGCCCAGTGGGGCATGTCAGCGTACCCAGGAGAAACAGGCTGAGTGTGGAATTCCTCTTCCGTGTCACGGAACATTCCTCACTGTGCCCAGTGGCTCAAATGTAGTCAATGACAGAAGCCCCAATCTCAGCGAGTTAGTGAGGTAAAGTTATGCTACTGGTCACATAACTACCATAATGACAGTAATGATAGTAAGCACATTAATAATCATAGTGTTAGTAATATTACATAACAATAACAGTGATAACCACCATTTACTTAATAAATGCTAAGCATTATGCTAAGTGCCTCATATTGTCGGGTGTTTTAGGGAGGCAGCGGGGAGTCGTGGGTCAAAGTATGAACTCTGGAGATGGGCTGTGTGATCGATCACATTTGCTATGTGATCTTGAACAAACTACTTAAATTCTCAGTGCCTCAGAGAGTATCTACCTCTTAAGGGTGTTTTGAGGATTAGGTGGGTTAATACATGTAAAATGTTCATACAAGTGCCTGACACACAGTAAGCAGTCCTACCCCAATTTCATAGATGAGATTAATGTTCAGGAAAGCTAAAGGCCACTCTTAGGTGCAGTGGGGGTTCTCCTGTCTGCCTGACTCCAAAGCCCCCGCTCTGTGGGTTCTCTCACTCCCATTCATTCTCACTCTCTCAGAGCTGAGAACAGACCAACTATATCATAAAGGAGAGCATAGTTACTCTCATGCCATTTCTGTCTTTTCTCATCAAAGAGTTTTACTACAGCAGCATTAAAAAAAAATGTTTAAAATGCCACTCTACCACATACTGCATTCCTTCAGTCTGAGACACGCCCTCCCCCAATTTTTCCATCTGTGAATCGTGTCTTACAATTATAGTTTGCAGTGTTTTTCCTTTCTTAGAAGCACATACAATAATGGTGCATCTTACAATCTATACCATCTTACATTTGACAAAATATGGCTGCTGCTCAGTCCAACGAGCATCTTTTAAGGATGAGCCCTTAGTCTATGTTGAAGGCACATATTGAAGCTTACCCTGCAACTCGAACAGCAAATCAGTTTTCTGGCTCAGACTCTGAGCTTGGTTTTCCTGTTCCTTGTTTTGGATTTGCCTTTCTGATGACCCCAAGGCTTCTAATCATAATGACTCTTTAGACTGACAAGCCCAGGGACACTTCCACCTTGTAGACTGTCCCGACAGGTAGCCCTCACATCACAAACATATCTAGGCTCTGTGGGTAAGCTGAGAAAGTAGTAGCTAATAGTGGAGCCTTGACAGTCCTTTTTTTTTTTTTCTTTCCCAACCTTGAGAAGTTATTTCTATAGCCCCTTTTATAAGTACTTATCTGATTCATACTTAAATTTTTTTCCTGTTTTGGCCTGAGTGCCTCCATTCCACATATGGTCAGTCTCTTCATAGAAGAAAAAAATGTCAAGTTTTACATCATCTTTTCCCTGGAAAGAGAGTTCCAAGCTGTCTTCTACCTAGAGGGAAGGTGAAAACGTTCACAGACTGAAACAAAAGGAATATACATTTTTAATTTTGAGAGATAATGTTTTATTATAGAGTATGGATTTTAGATACATGTTTCTTCAGGTTGGAGCACCTCTGAAATTGGGATGCATCAGTAGCACACCATCATTTGATTTCTTTCTTAAATGCATATAAAATAATGTTGCTTCTTACAACTGATGACGACTCAGGGTGTTGACTTTCAGCAATTACATTATCACTCTGCACTACATCCTGTTCCTGACCCCCTTTCTGACTAAAGAAGGAAAGGAACCAAAGACAAATTACTCCCTTTAATAACCAAGTGAAACTATTAGGAAAAGAAGTTTTTCATTACAATCAGTAAGTACTTAAGTAAATGTTGTACTATAGAAACCCATATACCTACCATAGATCAGTACATTATATACATGAAAAAAACAGAAGTTCTGAGAGTATTTCCCTGAAGAAATTTATTCCACAAATAATTATTCTCCCATTGGACTTGGTGCATCTGTCTGTTACAGCACTAATCACATAATAATTATTTCTGCGTTTGTGTTTTTTCTTCCAATTAGTGAACTCCTCAAAGGTAAGGACTGTAGGGCCGGCCGAGTGGCGCGATGGTTAAGAACTGGCTTGGGATGCCAGAGGGCCCCGGTTCGGATCTCCCACATATGAGGGCCAGTGACACTGCCCTCTACAGCTAAGATGCTGAACAATAGCTCAACCTGGAGCTGGGCTGCTGTGAGTCGCTGGCAACGGCATAGGCTGCAGCCCCTGTGGCAGTGGGTTGCCACGCGCTACCGTGTGTAGCCAGCAGCCAGCGTGAGCGGCCAGCAGCCGCCGTGAGCGGCCGTCCAGAAGCCAGCGACTGATGTGCTTCACCCGGGAAGAGCACAATGATGGTGCCAACTTGGGCCAGTGAAGCAACGTCCTCCACAACTAGACTGAAGAACAAAAAACGACAGCAACTTGTCTGTTCCCCTTCCCCCAAGTCCCCAGCACTGTTCCCATCCCCCCAATTCCCCAATAAAAAAAATCTGGGAAAAAAAAGGTAAGGTGTCCTGGGTGCTGAGCACAGTGCCAGGCATGGAGTGGGTGCTGAGGAAACGTGTGCTGAGTGACTAGACTGCTACTGCTTTGATTTTGACCTCAGGAAAATATTTTAGCAAGTTTTTTAGTAAAGTAGAATGATTATGATGAGGGAAGTGGCTTTTCATACTTCTACTTGTTTTCAAAGACAACACTACCCGGAAAACAAGAAAATTAAGAGTCAGGTGATTGCAAGGGATCATGGGCTTGGATTAGAGGAATCAAATGGTCTAAAAGGAGATTTCATCTAAGCTATGATGACCTATTCCTAGTTGACTGTGAGAAAATTGCTATGACCTAGGACAGGTGAAATAAACAAGAAATTCAAGTACTGTTTGAAATGAGTCTGTATTTCTAACCCGTAGCAATCAATGGAATGTTTCATGTTGATAATGACAAGATGCCTAAGAGAACATAAAAGTAAATGACTCATGAGAAACAATACAACTTCAAGTAGGGAAGGTGGGATTCTTACCTATTATATTAATTATATATTATGTTATATAATGGGAATACATTCATCTGCAAGAATCCAAGATCTTTCTCTCCTTGTCACTGTCAATAGAAAGCCAGGTTTTCTAGTTTTCCTTAAATAGTGCAGAGGTCACAAGCGGTAACACGCTTCTGCTGAACCCATCCTGGCCAATATTTAGTGATAACATGATGCATGCGGCATTTCTGACCATTTCTGAGTCGCTTAATATAAATTTTACTTTTGAGACATGTTGCTTGTGAAGTAAAGCATATTTTTATTACTTACCTTCCCAAATTTGTGTTTGAGTGGAAGTCCTGCATCCCGAAAGGCTGCAATAATATTAGATTTGTAATCTTGTATAAAAACTCCTAAGTCAACATCTTTGCTATAAGGAATAATACTGCACTGCCGATACCATCCTTAAAAAAAGAAAAAGAAATAAGACAACTTTTTTAAAAGCTTAAATTTCAGGGGGGCGGTTATCACTTTGTGAGGGGTATAAATGTCTAACTATTATGTTGCTTTGTACACCTGAAACCAATAAAAAAAAATTAGTATTTAAAAAAAGAAAAAAACTTATATTTGGAAAAACTTAAATTTGAAAAAATTTATTATAATGGATAATTATTTTTTAAATAATTAAAAAAAAAA